AGAGTTTTTGAGTGACAATGGACTGTTGCTCCACTCCTGTCAGGCATATCTAGATAAAAACCGACAATATACCTTCTGCCAAGCTCAATTTTCGTTCACAACCATTTTAACAAGTACAGCAGAATGGGATTGTTACAGTTGTGCTCAAGGTGTAAGGAACGTACGTTCAATCCGGCTCCTGTGGAAAAAAACGGTTGTAAAGAATGTTGTGTGTGTGCCTTACTACCTTGGAATCTCTCAAAACTTTACATCAGTGGCAAAGAGGTTCGGTGTAAATTTAGTTTTCAAAGCTCAGCACAAATTAGAAAGGTTAACCTCCTTTTTGGGTGGTCCTCAGGGGTGCCAGAAAAAAAAAAAAAAAACACGTGCACAACACGTGCCGGAACTATTGATGGCGTTTGCCCCAAATTATCTCTCTAACAGTCTTATCTTTGTGCCTAGCGAGAACAGTGGAAGAAGCAAATAATGGTTTGCACCTGCAGCCATGCGTGGTTTCAATCGACTTTGCAGAAAAAGAGATAGCGTATTTGCGGTCCGCGGCGGGGCCACGGATTGGTTGAGATGTGGTGCGGTGACGCAGTGTGTATCTACGCTGAGTCTCTTGGATTAAATCAGTTGAGAGTAAGCTCTCTGTGGTGTTCTTCCTCTGTCTATGTCTTAAAGCGCAATCATGTTTTTTCACGCACAATACCAACTCGCCCAACAATTAGCAAGGCTAGGAGAGTTTTGAGGAAGGCCTTGAGTATTTTGACCTGTGGTAATTGAGTAAGCACACCATCCTTGGCATTGGACAGTGACATGAAGCGTTTTTTGTGTCTGTTTTCTAAGAATTGTAAGGGCTGTGCTGGAGCTGGAGTTGCCTGTTATCGCATGTGGTTGGTCAGCCCTCAAGCGAGGTCATCAGGGTGGCTGGTTGGTGTGAATCATTTAGATATGTCTGAATCATGAATCATATGGGTTCTGTCTGAGTGTCCGGCTCTCGGTGACCTAGTGAAGAGGAGGTGTTTCTTTTTTGGTGGTGAGGTTTTGAGGTATGTGTAACAACGTTCGTTGTTCAAATAAACAACAAACGGTGTTTGAGACTTCTTGTTTTGGCCGTTTTTTTATCGTTCCGTGTCTCCGTTTCTTATAGAACTTCTACATTTATTGACATATTTACAGGAGTAAAAATGAAAGGCAAAAAAATCTGATAATTTTTTATGCATAATATAGTAGGTAAAACTCATGCAGAAGCAGAAAAAAAAAACACCAATAACCCCCCTCCCCCCCCCCCCCCCAAAAAAAAAAAAAAAGATGGCGGCGCCGGCGGCGCGCCGGATTTATTGTGCGGCGGCGGCGGCGGCGCAGGGCGGCGAGAGCAAAACAGGCGGCGGCGGCGGCGCGGCGCCGCGGCGCACAGATGGATGGACTAGAATGAGGGAACACATTGGCATTGTGGCGCCATCTATGCGGTGACCCTAGAACTGCATTTCACAAAAGCTAAGGTTTTGCGGGATTTCCGAGGTCAAATGTGCGTAATACCCATAGAAAGGCTCGTTTATAACATTTACAAAAGCTTTTCGAGCCAAAAAAGAAAGGATATTGCGCGAGAAATAAAAAAAAAAAGTATGCCGGACCGCCGAGTTTACACTGCTTCCCAATAGATGGCGCCAGTGTGTTCTCTGGTTTAAGAAGTTTTAAGGAACCCAGGTTTAAGAGGTCGCAAGCAGTCGCAAGAGTGTGAACGGGCCTTTAGTCGTACTCGGTCGCAAGAGTGTGAACGGGCCTTAACTATCACCAGGCAGTGTGGGATATCACCACGATGACCTTCGGGGGATCGGGCAAAAAAACTAAAAAAACATCACCCCCCTGCCTCTTCCCCCCGGCGAGGGAGTCGCCAATTTTCCTCTGGTCAAACCTTTTCGGCGTTACCCCAGCACCGGATCCACTGGGAGACAGGGTTGAGACTTTGGGCCGGAGCCACGCGGGAGGGAGTCCCAATTTTCCTCTGTCCCGCCTGTTCCCAGCTGTGCTAGTTAGTTGTCCATCATTTAATTTTCCCTAGATAATTTCCACCAATCTTCTAATCGTCTCTTTGTCACTGTAATCTTTTTTTCTACCATCCCTCCATCGTCGCCAGTGAAACCCAGGGCCCCGGCCAAATCCGTTACCCCTTCAGGGAGGGCAGGACGAAGCCTCGTGCACTTCAAAACCAAGTGCTCCAGTGTCTCGCTATCATTATGGCAGGCGGCACATAATGTGTCGGTCTCCTGAAATTTAGCCCTATACGTCCTTGTCCTCAAAACTCCCGTTCTTGCCTCGAACAGCAAAGCACTTCCCAGTAAATTGTCAAATAGCTTTTCCTTTCTTATCTCCTGCTTTCGTGACCTGTACACTGCTAAAGCTGATTTCTCCTGCATTCTCCCCTCCCAAATTTTCCTCTCCGCCTCTTTCACCTTCTTTTTCACTGACGTAGTCTGTTCAGCCCCATCACCAGTGTGTAGATATTTAAGTGTAAGCTCTCGGGTTCGGTTTGTCCATTTTGTGTTTAAACTTTTCATGTATAAATACTTGAATACCTTACGTGCCCACCGCGTATCCTCCATTTCAGTCAACCTTTGTTCAAATTTCAACTTACTAATTGCCTCCCTGCTCTCAAAAGACGACCATCCCATGTCCCTCTGTACTCCCTCATTTGGTGTTTTTCCATGTGCTCCCAGCGCCAATCTGCCTACGCTTCTTTGTCGAATTTCTAGCCCTGATTGAACCTCAGATTTCATGCACAGCACTGCATTGCCAAATGACAGTCCTGGCACCATCACTCCCTTCCATATACCTCTGACCACTTCATATCTGTTATAGTTCCATAGTGCCTTGAGCTTCATAATAGATGAATTTATTTTCCCTTTTCTAATTGTATTCTCCTCGTGTTCCTCTAGATATTTCCTTCCTTCATTGAGCCAGACCCCTAGATATTTGTACTTTTCTACGTGTTCTATCACTGTGTCCTGTATCTCCAGGGGTTCCCCCTTCTCATCGTTGAAAACTATTATACCCGACTTGTCCCTACTGAATTTTAGTCCTAAACTGTCCCCTTCCCTGCTGCAAATCCTAATCAGTTCCTGTATTGTCTCACGGCTTTCTGATACGAGCACAATGTCATCTGCATACATTAACCCTGGCAATAGTTGATTTACCTTATGTCCTTCCTCCATGTAATTCAGGTCAAAACCTAGGTTGCACTGTTCTAATCTTTTTTCCATCTCACTGAGGTATATCATAAAGAGCAGGGGAGACAATGGGCAACCCTGTCTAAGTCCTCTTTTTATTGCTGCTGGTTTTGTAGTTTCGGCTTCCCATTTTATAATCACCCTATCCTCCGTATAAACCCGTTCTAGGAACTTAACCGTGGTTCCCCCTAGGCCATACCCTCTTAGCTGTTCCCAAAGTTTTTCCTGATTCACATTGTCATATGCCCCTTTGATGTCCAAAAATGCTACCCATAATGGCCTTTGGCTTGTCATTGCTATCTCTATGCACTGAGTGATTATGAACAAGTTATCATCTAATCGTCTATCCATCCTGAAACCGTTTTGGAGCTCCCCCAGAATCTGCTTTCTCTCTGCCCATTCTTCCATTCTTCTTTTTACGATTTGCATAGCTAGTCTGTATATTACTGAAGTTACTGTTGTTGGGTATAACAACTATTTATTTATCAAAATGTACAACAGGTGGCAGTAGTATAAATATTTGTTTTATGCAACGATAGATGGCGACACTTGCTCACATATGGCCCTTAAAAAAAGCGAGAAAACGGCTAATTAGCACAAAAACACTGGCACATGGCCCTTAAAACGTTGCGAGCTTTTTTTTTTTTTTTTTTTTTTTTCTTAAATTAGTGTCATAGTCCCCAAGGTGACGTGGACGTCTTGTAGCACGTCTTGGGCGGCTCACTTCGGTTGGGAGGGGCGGTGTTTCCTCTTGCTCCGTGAATATGTCCGGGGCCAGGTTCAGCTGAGGTCGGTCTTCGAAGTGCTTCAAGGTCTGGACGTGGACGATCTTGTCATCTGTACTGCCAACTCTTCGGATACGGTAGCACACTGTACCAACAGGGCGGATGACTTCGAATGGACCTTTAAAGGGCGGTGTTAGTTTGTGATCACTGGCTTGCGGCCAGCTGTACAGTACCAAGTCTCCGGGATTGAACTTGTGGTCACTGCGATGCAGGTCAAAGCGTCGCTTGCTTGCTTGGTGAGACTGTAGGAGGTTCGTGGTAGCATCGGTCCGTGCAGCGTGCAAAATGTCGAGTTGATCCTCACGGGAGTCGTCCGATGTTATAGTTCCGATGAGAAGTTCTCTCGAGAGGCGAGGTTGATACCCGTGCAAAAGAAAAAATGGAGAGTATCCTGTGGAGCTTTGCTCTGCAGTGTTAATTGCCAGCAATGCACTGGGCAAGTGCTGGTCCCATGTCTGCGGGTTCCTGAAAGCGAGTTTCTTCAGTGTGTTCACTAAGGTTGCATTGGCCCTTTCGACAAGTCCGTTTGCTTGTGGGGTGTACGGAGGTGTGAGATGGTGCTCGATGCCATACTTCTTGAAGAACTGCTCTGTTGTGTGGCTGGCAAATGCGGGCCCATTGTCGGAAATGTACACGCATGGCGGTCCAAAACGTTGAATGACATCTTGTTCGATGGTTTCGATGACATCTGCTGCCGACAACGAACACGTGGCTCTTGCCAGAAGGTAGCGAGTGGCGTGATCAATCTGTACGAACAAGTGGGTATTTCCAGCTTCCGTTCGGGGCAGTGAGACAACATGATCGCCTGAGACGCATTCCCATGGCGTTGAAGGAATCGGAAGGGCTCCCAATTTTCCATTGGCGAGTGTGGTTCGACGATTTGTTCGTTGACATGCTTCACATCCCTGAACATAGGCTCTGACATCTTTGCGTAGTGTTGACCACCAGTACCTCGAGCGTACTCGTTCGAGCGTTTTCTCACTGTTCAGATGGCTACTCTCGTCATGACAAAGGCGGAGTACTGTGGAGCGCAATGCAAAAGGAAGAACGAGTTGTTCTCTCCTATGGCCTCCAACTGTTGTCACGTGAGTTAGCACCGAGTTTGATAACTTGAAGGAGTTATGAATTTGCTTCAGATGATGCGTGTCGGGCTGTTTCCATAGCTTGTCAAGGACTTGGCGGCAGTACTCATCGGTCTGCTGAGTGCGAACAAGCTCTGAATCTTGTGATGTTAGCACGGCGAGACATGCTTGGGTGGGGAGAGGGTAGCGGGACAAATGGTCAGCGATGACATTTTCCTTGCCTGGCCTGTGGAGGGCGGTGAAATCGAAGGCTGCCAGGTCAACGATGTAGCGTGCAAACTTGCGGTTCAGCTTGGCTTTGTTCACTGCATACGCCACAGTGAAATTGTCAGTGATGAGCACAAACTTGTGACGATGCAGGTACAGACGGAACTTTTCGGTCACAGCCCAATGTACAGCAGTACATTCAAGCTCATTGATGTGGTACCTCTTTTCTGCGTCTTTGAGGGATCTGCTGGCATATTCTATGACACGTCTTTTGCCATTCTGGTCTTGCGAGAGGCAGGCTCCAAGACCTTCATGTGACGCATCTGTCTCGACATACGTCTGACATTCTTGCTTGAAGAAGGACAGGACTGGCGGCGAAGTGATCTTCATCTTGAGTGACTCGAAGGATTCCTGCTGAGTATTGTCGAGGGCAAGCTGAAGTGCTTGAGTGGGCGTTTCTTTGTTCTTTTCTTTGCTTGTGGTCTTCTTCAGAAGTTCATTAAGCGGTCTTGCAATCACTGCAAAGTTCTCTATATGTTTGCGAAACGTGTTCGCAAATCCAAGGAAGCTGCGAACCTCATGTATGGACGTCAGTGTAGCATACCGAGATACAGCAGATGTGCGGTCAGGGTCTGGCTGTATGCCTTCTGTTGTCAACACTCTTCCGAGGAGCGTGATGGTTGGCGAGGCGAAGACACACTTGGTTGGCGAGAGTGTGAAACCCATGCTTCGTGTGGCCTTGAAGATCTCGCGGAGGCATTTGATGTGGTCTTCGAAATTGTTGTGCGCGCAGGCAATGTCGTCGATGTAGGTGACAACACCTAGTTTGCGAAGGTGCGAATATGCCAATTTGATGGCTCTTGTCATGGTCGGCGGTCCGTTCTTGAGCCCAAAAGGCATTCGTAGAAACTCTTCGTGGTGGTCTTGGGTGACGAAGGCTGTTTTGTGCACGTCGTCTTCTTTCACTTTGATTGTGAAGAATGCACTCTTGATGTCCATGTTAGACATGAAACGAGAACCTGCAATTGCATGAAGTGCGTCTTCCATGAAGTCGACTGGTTGTAGATCTGCAACAGTGATCGGATTGATTGTGCGGGAGTAGTCAACGACTACACGTCGAGGTGTCGTGTCATGAAAAGGCTGGTCCACTACGAAGGCTGGCGATGCATACATAGATGTGGACGGGCGACAGATGCCTTGTTCCCTCCAAGTTTGCACTTGGTTCTCGAGGAACTGTCGGTCAGGCTGGGAGAGGCGGTAGGGTTGGCGACGAACTGGTCTGGAGTGCTCTAGGTTAATGCTGAGTTCAACATAGGGGCACTCACCAATCTTCGCCTGGTGTGCGAAAATATCTTCATACTCTTTTACAAGAGAGCAGAGTTCTTCTTGCTCGGTTGCGGCAAGAGAAGCATGTATGGTCACTTTATCGGTGATTGTCTCAGTGTTGAGTGCAGATGGACTCGGATGATCCACGGGCATACGTTCTCCGGAAGTCGTGATTTGCGGTAGCGGCTCTGTTGACTTGGTTGAGCACAAGGTCTCTGTTGTGGCCCTAGGTGCTAGTGCCACATCGGTCTGCAGTGATGCCTCCATTGGCCTGGATTTGAAGATGCAGTTTGCGGTGAGCGTTTGGGCTTTGAAGCGCGTGAATTCCTGAATGGATGTCGGAGTCGTGATGCAGAAGCTTCCGTCTGCTTCAATGATGTACCGGGCCTGGACAAACCATTTCCAGTCATTACCCAAAACAAGGGTGACAGGCAGGTGTTCACAAAGTCCCACTTGTGGCATGGTGTAATCAATGTTCCCAACTTTGACACGCAGGGTGATCCATCCGGCGGGTGTTATGGGTCCTGCTGCTGTCTCGATTGGTCCGTTTTGCCATTTGAACACTGGTAGTTCGGGTGGTGCGACATGCTTTCGGATTAGCGTGACTTCTGATCCACAATCACAGAGAGCGTCCACTGTAGTTGTGCCGTTAATGATGGCGTTGACGATCGGTGCGCGAGGACCTTCGGTGTACAAGCAGTTCACAGAGTAGCGGGCATTTGGTTTCTTCGCGTCCTGAGTTGAACCATTGGCAGCATTCTCACTTGAAGAACGAGGAAGGCGTGTGTTGCTGGCATGGTTGTGGTGGGCTGTGCCAGCTTCATTACTGCGGCGTTGGTGCGCGTTCCTTTGGTGTGTCGGTGTAGCAGTTTCACCGTCAGCTGGTGCTGCGAGTGCACTACCTGCTTCTGGAGGTGGAAGATGACACTGATGCGAGATATGCCCCTTCTTTCCGCATCTCCAGCAGTGCAGATCTTCGGTCTTGTCGCCCAACTTTGGGTTGAACTTGCGGAGGAATGGCTTCTCTCTTGTTCCTGCGTCTTTCTTGTCGTTGCTTCCTTCTTTTTCCAGTTGTCGCAGCGAGTCGAGTGTTGCTGCTCTGTCAACTAATTCTGTCACGGAGGAGTAGAGGTGAGAAGCAAGCGGGATTGACCACTTTGTATCCTTGATGTCGCCGATGATCATCGATATGCGTTCCTCGGGGGTCAGGGGATGTGGAGACTTCTCGAGGAGGGCATCCTTCTCGAAAATGTACTGGACCAGGGTCTCGTTCCTCCTTAGCGTCCTCTTTGCCTGTAGCTCGATGAAGTCCTTCATCGAAAGTCGTCGTCGAAATCGTTCAATGAGAACTCGTTTCCACTCTTCCCACTCGTGGTGGTGTTTTCCGTTCGTCTTTTGCCAGTTGGCTGCGAGGCCTGAGAGTCGAGACGTAGCGTTCAGGAGCGTCAGTGCGGGGGTCCATAACGCTTGAGCTGCGATCCGTTCCACATCTTGGGTCCATTGTTTAGCGTCGTCTAACGGATCACCGGTAAATTTGGGGATCGCATTCGCGGTATCCGCCGTTGATGTAATTTGTACCGGCTGTCTTTGGCTTTCGGCCAGCTGTTGTACTGTTAGAGCGAGTTGAGCGACGATGTTCGTCAGACTTTGGATGTCCGTCGGTTTCATTTTTTTTTTTTTTTGGCGGATATGTCGGCTAGGCTTAATGTGGTTGACGACGAGCAGAAAAGGTGTCACGTACTTGCAGTTTCACGAAGTCATCGGACGTCTTGGCGAGTGTTTGCGGGGTCGTTTGTCGAGTCTTCGATGTCCGGGCACTAAGTCCTTCTTGCGAGCGGGAGCTTGAAGGATTAGCGTTGCTGTCCGCCGTAACGGTTGCGGCGATTCTGGCGGGAAAATGCGCTTCGACGGCGGCTGGCGAAGATGCGACGATGTGGAGCGTTCGCTCACTTTGCGATGGCGACTTGCGTGATTTTCGGGAGGCGGGTTACTTCGGCGCTTCGTTGTTCTGGTTTTGTTGAGGTGCCTTACATTTTTTTCGCAGTTTTCGCCGAATTGTTTTGCGACAAACAAAGGCTCGCTATGTCGACTGCGCCATGTTGGGTATAACTATTTATTTATCAAAATGTACAACAGGTGGCAGTAGTATAAATATTTGTTCTATGCAACGATAGATGTTGCTCACACTGTGATTGGTCGGTATGATTTGATACTGTCTTTGTTTCCCCTGCCCTTATATAATAATCTCATCCTGCTCAGTTTCCGGTCACTGGGTACCTCCCCTCCCATAAGTATCTGGTCAATCACCTGCCTTAGTTTCAACTTGCTTGTTTGGCCTAGAACCTTTATCAGTCTCATTGGTATGCCGTCTGGACCTGTCGCAGTTCCAGCCGGAACCCTTCCTTCTGCTTTCTCCCATTCTCCTATGGTCATTTCCTCTCCTTCACTATGATCCTCCTCTTGTGTTGTGTAGATGCTATTATTCCCTATGGCCTGATCTGATTCTAACTCTGAAAATGCTGCTTCGATTGTATGTCTAATGTATTCCCTTGCCTCTTCCCCCTCTACCTTTATGCCTTCCTCTGTGATTAGTGTCTGCTGGTACCCCTCAGTCTTTTTTCCCTGTGCACTGATGTGTTCCCAGAACCTTTTTGCCGCATTCCTATCCTTTTGGTTTATCTCTATCATCCACTGGACCCCTGCCCTCCCAATTTTGGCCTGTATTAATGCTGATGCCTCCCGCTTTCGTTCCTGAAAGTCCTCCCATTTTCTGTCACTTCGGCTGGAGTGGCCCCCTTTTTTTTTGCCCATCTGTGTTCTCTAGATGCCACTTGGCGTCTCGATATTGCTGCCTTAACCTCTTTATCCCACCAGCTTTTGAGCTTGCGTTTATGTTTCCTTCCTCCTTGTCTGGTTCGATATTTCTCTAATCCTCTTTTGAAAACAGTAACTAAGTCTTCATATGTCCATTCTCTTTCCGGTAGCTTGGATACTATGTTCTCGACCCACTTAGATACCTCCTGTAATTGTTTATCATTTAAGTTATTTCTACCCTCTTGTTTTTGATTTTGCGTTTCTGATTTTACTGTACCAAATCTGATCTTGATTCTCTTATGGTCGCTCCCCAGACTTTTTGTGCTTTCCTCATCTATCTCCATACCTCCAAGTCTGTTGTATATCTTCCGTGACATTAAACAGTAGTCGATAGTCGAGTGTGAGTTCTTTCTCTCCCATGTTATTTTTCCATCACATTTTACCTGGGCGTTAACCAATACCAGATCAAGAGCTTCACAGAACTCCTCTAACATCCTCCCTGTTGTATCCGTATGTCCATCAAAGTCTTCCAAATGTGCATTCATGTCCCCCAGGATAATTATTTCCTTGTTAGTGCCGATTTCCCTAACGTCTCCTGATATGCATGTTAAGTGTTCTGCGTTTTCCTCCCCTGCATCACTCCCTGTTTTTAGATACACAAAACCCAGGATTGTGTCTAAACCTCCAATATTGCCTTTGATCCACATGTGTTCCCTGCAGTTCTCTCAATCCCTTTCCCATTCCTGACCCTTCACTAAAATCCCTAATCCGCCTCCCTTGCGTTCCCCGTTGGCCCGGTTGCATCCCATCCAATGATATCCCGGTATGTGTGGTGGTTCTTCCAAATCCCTCAGATGTGTTTCTGCTAATCCATACACTGCAAAGTTTTCGCTTTCTAATTTCTCCTCAATCTCCTCCCACTTTATTCTGTTCCTGCCCCCCTGCATATTTATGAAAGCTATGTTAAGTAGCTTCTTCCTGTTTCTGCGTGGCTTCCTCCCACCCTCCCTGGCCACCTCCCCCAAACCCACATCGCCACTCTCCTCTACTCTTTTGCCCTCCGGTGTCCCTCTGATGTGCCCACCCCACCTCCCCTCTCCTACGGGCCCTTCGCCTCGCTCCTGGCAGGATTCCTCGCCCTTAGAGCTTTGGGGCCTCCTAAAAAAGCCACCGCCTTCCCTGCCATCCGCCACCCAACGGCCCTCCCCACGTAGGGGCTGAAATGGATACCGGTCCCCTCAAAAGCCTTCGCTCTGTTATTACGCACCTCCCAATTCATGTCCATCACCCCGAAACCCATCTCCCTTCCCAGTCTCTTGATGTCCCGGTTTGCGGCCACCACGGCTCTCTCGATGTGAACGCCCTGCCCCCTCACCTCTGGCACCGTGCAGACATGGATCTCTACATTGTCTGATGTCGCCCTCAACTCCCTCACTCCCCTGCGCAACTGCTTCCCCACCCCTCCCCCGTTCCCTCGTAATACATCGTTCAGTCCCCCCGCTATCACCACGAGGTTTTGGCCTTCTTTTGTCTCCCATAGTTTATCTTTCATTCCCTCAATCACCGCCCTCATTGTCTGTCCAGGCAACACCCCAATCCGGACCCTGGCGTCCCCCTTCACCCTTTCAGCTATTGCCCTCCTGCACCTTTCCATGTTGGAGTCCCCTGCTATGATCACGTTGCCCTCCATGTCCTGCCTACTCTCCACTAAAGCAGGGGCTTTGCCCTTTGACTTTTCCTCCCCTTTTCCCGTCTCTTCTCCTCCCGGCTTCAGTGCTTCTTTGTACGTCCTCCCCCCATCACTTTCTACGACCGTGTCGTTTGCTGTGATGTCCGATGGCAAAAGGACCACCTCCAGATCTGCCAACTTCTCGTCTGCCTTCGCCAGCTTGTCGTCCACTGTCTGTCTTTCACTTCTTTCCCTCTCCAGCTCTGCCTCTAACTTCACAATCCTTGCCATCAGCTCTGTGTTCTCTCCTTCCAGCCTGTCCTGTCGTGCGTTTAGGACGCACATTCTACACATGAACTCTGTCGTCCCTGCCTCGTCTACGCTATCAAACCTTGTGTCCTCTATATCCACTGACTTTTTGCAGTCACCACACTGTACGTGTGTTCCCTTCCTCTGCCCGCCAAGTTCTCCCCCGTCCACCCCTTTGTTTTCGCCCTTCTCGTCCCTGAGCCCCTCCCTAGCCTCCTTCATCTGCAGCTCCATTGTCTCTCGAGCCTCCCGCTCCTTCCCGAGTTCCCCCCTCATCATCTCCAACATCCCCTTCACCTCATCAGCATTCACGCAGATCCGGCATTGGTACTCTTTGTCCGCTGCTTCCTCCACGCTCCCGAACGGGGTTTCCATGAGGAAGCACCATCGCTCACACTTACCGCATGCCACGTTGGGCACATCCGGTTTGGCCCTGTCTGGCTTGGCCTTGTCCGGTTTTTTTGCCATTCGCGCTCGTTTCCTCCCCAAATACCTCTAAATCCAACTGAAGAAAAGGAACAGTGTCCCTGTATAATTTCAAATTAACCGACCGAGACAAAGCGCCCGCCAAAAATATTTGAACTACACGTGTCCCGACACGTGACCCTACACTACCGCTACAATCGCTTCCCCCTACCCCTACCGAATTCCCACTTCACCTCCCCGATGCTACTGCTCTATTGAATCTACTTTATGCTAAGCCATAAGTAGTACACTTAAAACCAAACTCAGGTACAAAACAACAAATTTTCACTTAGCTTCGAGCTCCGGAATCCGCGTCCGATCCGTCGCTGTCGCCGGCTGTGTTCGGACAGTGTGGACAGCGGACAGTGTGGCCAGACCTTGATACACGCATGTCTAGGTTTGGAGAATTTATTTTTATGCAAAGGGTTATTTTATTTTATGAACAGTTGCAATGAAAAGAAACCAATTCTAATCACTGAAGATGTTAATAAATTAATTTGTTTTTGTACCGTATTAACTGAAATAACCAATCAGCGGTGCCCTTAATTCATCCCTTAGCCATTACCATCCAGTCCGAAGCCAACTGGCCAGCCTGTCGCGCATGCGCACACGAGTCGAACCTCAATACAAGGTTCGTCAAAATTTTTACGAAAAGTTCGAAAAAGTCGAACCTGGTCGAACTCGAACCTCGGCCGGTTCGCGACACCCCTAGTTTAGTTTAGCGCAGGGGGGTAAAGGTGGGTGAGGAGGAGTGGCAAATCCTGTGCGCCGACACCCGGGGCCCCGAGCGAAAGATCGCGAACGAGAGCGACAGAACACGAAAGAAAGAAAGCAACGTTGCCAGCTGAAGGACGACAATCGCAATGGTAAACGCATAGAGTTATTACAATAAACGCTAGAGGCTCAGCTGGCGCTATACTCCGTTTCACCTTCAGTCCGAGCGCAGCGGACGCTAGGAGTAATCCCAGCCAATCCAGCGTGGAGAGAGTGTCATGTGACCTTGAGCTCCCTGTGTCCCTCTGCCCAACCGGCAGGTCACGCGATTTTCTCCCGGCGCTGGATCGGCTGGGATGTCTTGTGGCGTCCACTGCGCTCAGACTGAAGGTGGAACGGAGTATAGTGTGCTGTTGCAAATTGAAGCAGACAGCATGCAGTCCAAAATTGACTTCCGGTAATGCATTTCTATGGGAAAAAGCGAGTGCATTTTCTCTCTGCGCTCGATTATAAGAGCAAATATCACGAATAATTTGTACGTACTGGGCACATTCGAACATTTCTCAGTCACGCAGGCGAAATAATTGGTCAGTTACAGCATTTTTATTTGAAATTTTCGGCATTGAAAACGGTGTTAAAACCGCTTCGTACGTGTATTTATGTGCGCTGTCGGACACTGTTAGCGCGAACACGGCGTCGACGCTTTCCAGCATGGGGGATATACGTGCCAAACGAACGAACGACATGTGGAAAACCAGGAGAGACGGCAAGAACTACGCAGTAACACTGGGTAAGTAACTCCTTGTGCTTGCAGACGATCAAAATAAGTTGAAAGTCACGTAATATAGTCAGATTTGCAATAAATAAGTACTGCTTTATTCTTTCTGCTCATGAATATGTGCGAAGATACTTGTTCTGTGTTCAAATCATCGCCCGCACGCTCCAAATCTTTGCAAATAGGGGGAAGCCAGAGGACAGGTGCGTGATAAAAACTGCCCAACATAGGAAATAATAAGAAAACACACCTTTCGTAGCCCACGTACTTTATTCTTTACGTTTAGAACGTTTTCTTTAACCGCTCTTAGAAATGCACGACGGGGTCATTTTCATATAGTGAGAGGACAGGCATAT